GTAAGAGCCGCCGGACCCGCACGGACACCCGCAAATGCGTGTTCGACCCGCGTCCCGTGCGTAAAAGTGCGGATTCGCCCCGTTTTTTCCTTATGTAAGGCGGCGGTAGACTGGTCCACAGACGAGCTCAGCTAATGCTAGTTACGGCACACAGCGGCCATTGACACGGGCTACATCATGGGTGTTTTTCCGAGCACGTTTTTACACAGAAAGCGAGGACTAAACCGGGACTAAACCGGGATCGAACCAGGACTAGGCGTGGACTGAACCGAACCAAACCGACTAACATGTACGACCACGCAGGGGAATATGGATTAAACTGGGTCTAAACCGGGACTAAACAAGGATTAAAGGTCTTAACCAGGACTTTACCTGGTCTAAACCGGGTCTAATATGGATGTAAACACCTCGTGATTCGATAATTTTGGGGGAAAATTCAATCCACGGCCCTGTGCTTGATGTATTTTTGGAACGCTCAAAACAAAATGTCAAATCTCGTGTGTTATTATCCCCCCAAATCGTGCTCAGTTTTAAAGGAAATGCTCACAAAAATGTCACGTAATTGCACAGTTTACTTTTAAAGCCGTTTAGTTTGATGTTAACACGTGTCTTTCAAGCCCTCGACCTTAATTTTTTTTTTTTTTTTTTTTGGATGTTGTCTTTTACGCGCAGGATGTAAACTCCATTTTCACGCGGCTAACTTAGCACGTTTAGCGCTTTCGGAGGACAATAAGTGAGGGGCTTTTGTTCTCACACGGTGCCCGCATTCGGAGCACTTGTTACCGGGTTAAAATTTCCATCTTGGCGCTGTCTGAGAAGTGTTCCTCCCACTTGAATGCCGCTGGATTTAGCCGCACACGAGCTAGCCGCGCTTAGCATCCAGTGCGCACATCTATTGACAGGAGGCTAAAGGCCGGGCTGAAGTTGGCCTTTTTTTTACGGCTAGTTTACAGTTTTTATCGCGTCTCAAACCTCGCTGACCATTTTGGAGAGCTCGGTTTGGCAAGCGACACGTTAGATTTTGTGGTATTCGAGCGCGCACACGATGGAGATGCGATGTTCAAGGGAGGGTCCCGGAGATGTTGGTTCGCATTTTGTGTCCCCTGGGTGGGTAATGCAACACGTGGTCAGGAAAAAGGGGGATAGACCCGTTGGACTGTCCTAAAGTCCCATTATTCCAACTCTGGATGGGTTTTGTTCCCAAGTTTTTTTTGTTTTGTTTTTTTGTTGGCGAGCCCAAAATGCCAGACTAGCATTTTTGTTTTGGTTTCCCGGTGGCCACAGGTCACCAGGACGCACTACAGTCTATTGTTAGGGGCACGTTGCTGGGGAGTTTATCTTTTAGAATAGTTTTAAAGGTCCTGTATTTAACAAAATTTATTCTTTTTGAGGTTTTAGACACGTTATTTGTTGTTGCCACCGTAAATAACAAGCCTGGACGTGTATTTTGTTTCATTCACACATGTTTGAGTAACACTTTATTATTTTTATTTGTCTGTTTCTAGGGGTGTAACGATATCCAAGTCTCATGATACGATATTAACGTCACGGTATGGTATTTATTGCGATATATATGGTTGGGGAAGGCTCATGATTAGGGATGTAACAATATCCAAATCTCTCGGTATGATATTTTCACAAAATACATCTCACATTACAATATTGTGATATTTTGGAGGCTAAACTTCTAAAACTGTTTAATATTCTACTTTTTCTTCTTAAAAAGCCTTGACAAGACTTAATCCAAAGAACTAAGACTTGAAAGTGTTTGGAACTGTTGTTTTTTCTTGTAGTCTGCACTGAAATGGAGCAAAGGATCATGGTCTATGTAGTTCCATGTGTTGTTTTTAGCTATTCCAGCACCATAACTCTTCATTTAAGCAAAGACATTTGTAATTCGATATATTGTGATGGTCCACGATATTATTATGAGGACTTTGACATTACAATTTCAGTTATTGTTACAGGGTAGCTGTAGTCGGGCCAGCGCCACCTAGTGCCTCCTCTCAGTTTCATTTGTCTCCAGCGAGTAGGTCAGGAATCAGAATACAATAGACAGTTCGTAAAAACCCGAAAAGTGCGAGTTCTGGCACCAGCCAATCAGCGAAGAGTCATTTATTCAGTGTTGTCAACAATTCCCCAGATCGAGGATTTAAAGCCGGAACAAAGAGAATGTTTGGTGAATTTTATCAAGGGGAAAGACGTTATTGTCCTTCTTTCTACGGGATTTGGGAAAAGCTTAATATACCAGTTAACCCCATTAGCGGCGCATTACATACGTCACGACTAAATAGCAGCGATTGGTTAAATGATAAAAACTACCCACCTACTGTCGAGCGAACGAAAATCAAAGGCTAGGGTTGCTGCGGGGTCTTAAAAGTCTTAAAAATATCTTAAATTTCATGTTCCTAAATTAAGGCCCTTTTTAAAAAGTCTTAAATTATGTTTTCCAAGTCTTATTTTTTTCACAAAGGTCTTAAATTTCATTAGCCTATATTTTTTTTGTGTAAACTCAACCTGGCTGTAGAGCAATGTTAAAATGGAGTGAGGAAAAAAAACCAAAAACCCCGTCAAATCACATAACGTCAATGAACGTCTAATCTGGAGGATGCGCAAACAATACTTTGGTTTCTGGCACCGGCGGCAGTGAGTAAACGATCAGAGTGTAAGTGGAGGTTTAATCTTCAGTGGCTGTTAGATTCTAGATATAGTAGTTGGTCGGTCATTATTAGAATTGGATCTGATGTGCTTGGCTCGCATAATGGGTGCGACGTTGGTCTTCATTTTCATTTAAGTGGTCTTAAAAAGGCCTTAAAAACGTCTTAAATTCGGGGTATTCAAACCTGGGGATACCCTGCGTTACATCCCTATCCGTTTCCATCTCCAAACAAAACACAACTCGAGGTTTTTGACGAGGAAATGACATAACATGGATTAGAAAATGACGTAATATTAGCCCGGTAAAAATGCACTGTAACTTTTCTGGTGGACGGTTCGCCATCTGCTTCTATCCCCGAATTAGTGTTGTCAAAAGTATAAAATCGGATATTAATAGAAACAGAAACTAGATATTTTTGTTTCTCGTCACCAAATCCTTTTTTTTTATTGCAAGTCACAGCTTTTCTATGACTTGATCTGCCTTTATTGTATTTTATTTTTCTAATTGTGTTTATTTTAAGAGCATTTAAGTATCAGTATTGGAAAAAAAAACATAACTGGATAAAATTTGGTAAATAAACATGAAAAATGCAGTATTGTCTAAAAAAAATCAATCTTTATCTAGTAATAAGTCTAATCTTTAGTATAAAAATAGTTTGAATTTCATGATTTGTAGCATTAAAACGATCTACTTTGATGGAGACAAGCAGGCCAGGCCCAGTTACAGACCAGATCTGTGGAGATACAGGCTGCTGTTGAGCTATAAAAACACCTGAAAAGTGAAAATTGTTGACTAGTTGAACGCCTTACTCTGGAACATTCCTGGTACAACATCTCCATGAAGATGAAAGTTAGAATTATCAGAAAGTTAAAACAGAAACGCCACAGTTAGGTTTACCAAAATCAAAGTTCACATTTTAAACTCGTCCTGAAGAATTGACCAAAACTCTGAAATCTGAGCTGACAAATGAATAAAAGAATCACATTTCAGAGCTTGTTTGTGCAGATCTAAACCTCAGGGTCAGTGGTTTTCATGCAGAATAAAGCAGGAGATTTAGTTTGTGGAGGAAATTGTCACTTGCCTCTTTTGTGATCACTACTGGCGTCTATTGAAATACTGATTTTCGTTAATTTGAGATTAATTGTGCAATGGAACTGAACATTTTTTAAGTCGCACTGTTGAATAAAGCGGGCGTTTGTGCGTCTGATTGCTCCGTACAGATGGATGTGGAGCTTTAGGCCGATGTCCGCGGCGTGTTTACAGTTCAGACCGCGCCGCATTTCTCATTTGACACAGTGAAACACTTTGCTTCAGTTTAACCAGTTGATTCTAAACACATTTTGTATCCGTCACGTTAATTGAATAACAAAACTTGATGAGGGATTGGCTCGGAGGTGGGGCCAAGGCATTGTTTTGCGAGTCTCCAATAAATCTCAAGTCTTTGACCTCAAGTCCCAAGTCAAAGAAAGGGAAGTCCAAGTTGAGTCTCGAGTAGGGATGTAACAATAACCAGAAATATCCTGATATCGTATCGGCAAACTTCTCACAATAATATCGTACACCATTACAAGTCTCTTTGTTTAAATTAAGAGTTATGGTGCAAAAAAAAGAAAGGGGGAACTACATAGACCATGATCCTTTGCTCCATTTCAGTGCAGACGACAAGAAGAAATAACAGTTCTAAGCATTTTTAAGACTTAGTTCTTTGGATTAAGTCTTGTCAAGGTGTTTTAAGAGAAAAAATTTGTTAGCCTCCTCAAAATATCTCATTAAATATCGTACCGTGAGATGTATAATCGTGAAAATTTCGAGAGATTTGGATATTGTTACATCCCTAATTGTGAGCTTTCCCACGATATCGCAATAAATATCGTACCGTGAGGTTCATACCGTGACTATATCGTATCGTGAGACTTGGATGTCGTTACACCCCTAGTCTCGAGTCACTGGCCCATAAGTCCAAGTCAAGTCCAAGTCGTCTGCTTTGAGCTTCAAGTCAGTTCAAGCCTTTAGTTTTAGCAACTTTTAGCAACGATACAGATTAAAAAATGCATTTATTTTGTCATGTGTCTGCACTGAAATGGAAGTATCATGTTCTATGTAGTTCCCTCTGTTTTACTGTAGTGTACTGTGTATTACTGTAGTACTTTTGAGGATAACCACATCGCAGTACTTCAGTTACAATGAAAGTAACAAATAAAGAAGTGGGATTGACATGTTCCTATTTGTTCCTGTAAAAATTAATCCCCGCATTTATTAACCGTAAAGGGAAAAGTATTGTCTAAAAACATAGTGTTATTTTAGAGAAGCATCAAGTCTCAAGTCACAGGCCTCAATTCCG